AACCCGAGAGAGATATGCCTGAGCATACATTCTGAGTAAGAGCCTTCCACAGACGAGGAACTGTGTCACAATACCATGAACATGTGATATCCGTCTTCCCCATAGAGCTAAACATCCAGCCCAAGATAATACAGTTATCAATATCCACTGCCCCACGCTTAAATCATCATCAGGGATGTTGAAGTTCAAGTCATAAGGACCAAGAGATTGCCTTTGCCCCATAAATACAATTTGAAAGAGAACGACTTCAATGCAGCAAAATTCTCTCATTCAACAAGAGACTTGTAATCGATGAGTCGGGCTTGTTGAGAGACGGGAAAAAATCAAACCCAATCGATTCAAACCAGAATAAGAGTGCATCAGTCCTAACTAGAAACGGTGGAGTCAGTCATGATACAAGTCACAGCAAAGCAGCAACTAGCAAAATCACAAGCAAAGGTTGGGAAAGAAAAAAAAAAAAGGGCGTACTATAACGCTACTGACACACTGGTAGCCACCAACACAATAGAAACAAACAATGTAGATAAGTGCTTACTACAATCAGCACAAGTCGAACCCTAGAAGGGTAAAGAGAGAAGAAAACAACTTGGAGGGGAGCCGCACTTAAGATCCCAAGGCAGGGGGGTCTAGTTGGAAGGGGGTCTAGTTGGCACTACGGAAGCTGCGGTAATGTTAGAATTTCCCATCTTCCTTCACACTACTCCACTACAACACTACCATCTTCACCTACCTCACACCCTCCACAACTTCACCTAACCCACTATCACCTCCACCTACACACCTACTACCGACATTTTTTCTTCTATATATAGATTGTATAGGAATTGTAAATTAATCAATCTTGTACACATCTAGATATCAATCATAATACATATTTTTAATCATGGTATCAGAGCAAAGGTTAGTACTTAAGTATTTTTGCTTCACACGCGGGCGGCAACACTTGCCTTGGCGCCCGCCGGACCTCAACCTGTCCGCTAAAATTCCTCTAAACATACCTTCACTCAACTGGGTCACACCTACGCGCATGCGCATCTCTCTCTTCGTCTAGAATTGTTTTGTTGAGGTGTTTGGCGACGCATGTTGAATAGCCTGGCCTTCCCCTTCTTCTCCAGATCTTCGTGCAAATCTCAAAACGAAACGGCACACGGCGGTCACTAACCCTTGCTGCAACCAGCGAGTCACCATCACGAGCTCAAGAGCATGGGAACCTCAAAGCAAGCCAACCCACCATTTGAATTTTGCTGTTCCGTCGCCGAAGTTCCGGCCTTGGTGACTCTTGCGTCGTCAGACGTTAGGTTTTTTTTGAAGTTGCGGTGTTCTGATCGTCGAGTGGCAACGAGTTTGGGACTCCGGTTTTTTTTTCGCTCCTATTAAGGGCAATGAAGAATTCTAATACCGTCCGTACGTCAATAAACAAAGCCGAATTTCGTTCCAGAAAGTGCCCGATAGCTTCCTTGAAGTCACGTGATTATGATGGGTAAAGTATATGCTTCCATTGGGCAAAGTGGACTTCACGTGGGGTGGCAATTTGGCCACGGTTTTGATCAAAATGTTTAGCGGTCATTGGCCTTGGCTGCTGGTTTTGGGTCTGATTATTATATATATATATATATTATAATATCTTTATATATATTTGTTTTTTGAATTTCGTGTACTGTCAACACAATGTGTGGGTGAGCTCTTGAACACGAAGTTGTGGAAATTGGTTACAACGTGGGTGCCTAAGTGCATATGCTTCGGGTAGGTTTGTCTGCCCATCTCCATCAATTGCTTTGTGGGAAGTTGTACCTCGTGCAGATGTGCACTGGCCAGCCTTTGCTGGTAAAGCTCCACAGGCTGTTAAAGCTTCCCATGGACAGCCTGGCCTTTCCATCATTTTTCTTTCTATCCAAACCACATCTACCCCTTTATTTTAATATTTCCCAACCATTTTATTTTAAAACTTTTTCTTCGACCAACTCACTGATTTTATATATTTTATTTTATCCACAATACCATCATTTCTTTCACGTTATTTCATTCCCTCCCGACTTTCAATCCACTTTCCTTGCATAGCCGGGCAGATTGCTAAAAAAAAAAAAAAAAAATAATAAAAATAAAATAAAAAATAAAAATAAAAATAAAAATAAAAATAAAAAAAAATTTGTTCCAATACAGAAACGGCACACCACTGGCCTCAAACAATCTCTACTCACCTGGGCACTACTCGTGCGAGTGTGGATTCAAAATGTCCAAAAATCAAAATTTCCCCTAAATTTCAAGTTTCAAGATTGCAATTATTTTGACACTTACCCGATCACCATTTTTACACAAACAAAAAAAAAAAAAAACAAAAAAAAAAAAAAAAACCCCAAACAACACAACCAAACCCACAAGAAGGGATTTTTCCCTTCCTCTACTCTTTGCCGGGTCCCTTTTCTCTTTGGGCCTCCCGTCCTGGGCGGCCCCGTTAGCTTGGTTTGCTCCGTGTTTCCCAATCCCACTGGGCATGATCACTACTCCCTGCTCCTCCACTGCAATGCATATGGCGTCCCTACCTAAATTCGGACAGCATAACGGTGGCCTTCACCTTCTAGTTTCTTATTTTCCGCCTTCAGCACACTTATCCTCATGCTGCGCAGTGTCCTTATACATGCGTTGGAGCAGAGCCACGTTGGAGTTTAAAGCATGCTGCAACCTCATTTGGTCACTAACTTGAGCAGCCGGTTTCGCAGGGTTTGTGACCCGCGTCATGCTTTACCACACATAACCTTCAAGTATACTGATTGCCTCCCACAATCCGAACAGCACGCATTCTTTGGTCTCCAACAGACGCGATCGAAAGTTCAACCGGAGTATACCCAAGGCGGTGTTGGATTGAGGTTCCAAGTGCCCACCCCGATCCAACTCGTTCTCTCTCTCGTTGACTCGCGTTGAAGGTCGGGAAAGAAGGGTGACAGTCTCGGGAAAATGTACGAGGACGAGGCCATTTTCTGGGCAACAGAGTGTTACAGCCATGTCAACTATACATGAGTTTCTCTCTTCCAGCACACAACAATGTTTAGAATTAGCCTCTCTCTTCTTCAGCAACAACGAAGGAGTTTTATCAGAGATTTCGCAGTTTTTTTTTGCTTGCTGGCACGCGCCTCCAGGCTCTTCATAAGGTATAAATAGCCGAGGCAGCACGCGCATCGCGCGCACTGCTTTTGCCCGGCCGCGACATGCATCGACTGGCACGCCTTGTTCAATGGCACTCTTTTGATAAAATCGGACACGCGCTTTTGATGGGCATGACAGCCTTTTGATGAATTGGGCACGCCTTTTGATGGCACGCCTTTTTGACAACTTTGGGCACACCTTTTGAGAGTGCAACTTTTTCAGGGGTCCGACAAGACTCAGTAAACTGTCTGTTACAACGGACCGTTGGAGAAGCTGTGGTGGTGCACCGAGGAGGCGACTTAGGGAGTGCGCCATGAGCGACTTATACATGATACTGGTATAACCCCCCCTCAAACTCAAATAGGTGTGAAGATAGAAACCTATTTGAGGTTGAAACAAAGGGATTGATAAAGCTGACCGGTGTAGAAGACAATTTGGTGACATGACCCCATAAACTGTCTTCTACAACGGTCCGACATGACCCCATAAACTGTCTTCTACATCGGTCTGACACCACCATACAGTGTCCTCTACAACGTTATGACACCCCATACAGTGTCTTCAACAACGGTCTGACACGACCATACAGTGTCTCCTATCCTTTTTTTATTTTTATATATTTTCTTGTTTTGTTACTCTCTCCAAACTCAAGTTGGTTAGTTTCTCTCCTCCTTGAGTTTGCGGGGGGCTGTTAGAATTTCCCATCTTTACCTTCACCTACTCCACTACACACTCCACTTCACCTACCTCCACACACTCCACTTCACCTAACCCACTATCACCTCCACTACACCTACTACCACATTTTCTTCTATATATAGATTGTATAGGAATTGTAATTAATCAATCTTGTAACACATCTAGATATCAATCAATAATACAGTATTTTTAACACGGTAGTCAGGAAGAGGGACTGCCGAGGGGCTGGGAAGGAAGAGGAAGGGCTGTCGGGGCTGAGAAAGAAGAAGAAGAAGGGCTTTTGGCTGGGTGGAGGGAAGAAGAAGGGCTGTCAGGTGGCTGGGTAGGTGATTTAGGGCTGCCGGAAACAGAAGGGTTTGGCTCTGATACCAAGAAAAAGAATATAATTGAATGGCTTAATTACAATGTATGATTAGCTTTGTATATATATATACTGAATTGAGGAGATTACAATTTAGGAAGGTAGAATAACAATAAAATCAAATATAAGAGAATATGCTTAAAATCCTGTAATCACATAATAAATAAGATTCACACAATATATGGGAATCCCATATTCCAACAATACACTGATTAAATAACTTACTTCCTCATGAAATTTCCTGAATATATACAATGTTTTATCTAATTATGGATTAAAGCAGTCTATAGAATTTGGGGTAAAGCATTATTTAAATGTGTGCTTTCACGGTTGTACCATTAAATAAACTGACCATTTTCTTCAAATGGAAGACTTGACAGTCCAACAAGCAGGCCACTCCAATCACAAGAAAAGGGACATAATCGTACTGACCTTGATATTATTCATTGGAATGCTTCTGTTGGGTCTGTGCATAATGCTCTATGTCCGGAAAAGGAAGAAGAAGAATTTACAGCTGCACACAGAAGGTAATCCAGATGAGTCATTTTGTCGTAAACGTGCGTATCTTTCTCTTAATTCAAATAGAAAAGGACCCAAAAGAAAGTATGCTCATTTATTCTTTAATAACGTGTTCCAATATGCAGTGTATTGCTTTGATGGAATAAATAGTCTCATTTACAACCATTCCATCTCATACTTTGCAGGAAACCTAGCACATAACTCCAAACAAAGTTACACTAACCAAATTGAGAAGGAAGATCTAGAGTTGCCCTTGTTTGACTTTGCTACAATAGCTAATTCTACAAATCAATTTTCAATCGACAATAAGCTTGGAGAGGGTGGATTTGGACCTGTTTTCAAGGTAACAATCTCAATACATTCTTATGTAGTTTCTTTGAACCTACCTAAAACTTAGGGGTATTGTTTGGTGCTATTGTAAAAGCTTAGTCTGCTAAGCATGAAAATGACCGGCTTGAGTCTTAGAGAAGCCACTCTGTGTAAATAATGCCAAAGGTTTGGTCTGTCTCTAGTCTTACCCATATATAATATAATTAATAAACCAGACTTTTATCTGAAAAGATTACTATTTTATCTTATGAAATTTGTCTTAACACAAAAAATGATTGTAAAAGTTTGCCATGATAAAATGTGAGTGTGTTGAAGAAGGTTTTATCCTATCCAAATATTGTGAAAAGTTAAATCTGTAAACCCTACTTCACCCCTCATATTAAAGGCCACCACAAAGTAAATCCATGAATAATACAAAAAGCTTTTATATATGGCTACAGAAAATTCTTACAGAAATTTCTTTACTTAGATATAAAACAATTGGTCTTCTATAGTCGTACATACTCGTTATCTAATAATGAAAGTCTTAGTAACATATAGTAGTGAACTTCTTTGTATGCATTGAATTTGTGTTTATGTATCGTCTTAACTATACTATTATTGGAACAATGTCAGCCATTGGAATTATAAGAAAGTAAAAGATACAACAATGAGGAAAGGGAAAGAAAAGAAGTGACTTCTTTTAAGTTTTAAGTATACTCTAGCCATCCGAAATGGTAATCTTCAGGGTGACTGGAAGATCGGACAAAGAAATTAGCTGTTTAAGCGGCTCTCCAAAATAATTCCAGACCAAAGGAGTCGAATGCAAGCTTTCAAAACTGAACAA